AGGCCAAGCGCCAATCCTCTACCTCATCCAGGTAAGTTGTAACACACTCATGACGATCCAAGGCCAAGCGCCAATCCTCTACCCTATCCAAGTAAGGTTATAACACACTCGTGACGATTCAAGGTCAAGCGCCAATCCTCTACCTAATCCAAGTAAGGTTGTAACACACTCGTGACGATCCAAGGCCAAGCGCCAATCCTCTACCCTATCCAAGTAGGGTCGTTACACACTCGTGACGATCCAAGGCCAAGCGCCAATCCTCTACCTCATCCAGGTAAGTTGTAACACACTCGTGACGATACTCCTCAAAGCGCCTTTAGTCCAGCCGAGCGCACTTGCGTAGTTACACACTCATGACGATCCAAGGCCAAGCGCCAATCCTCTACCTCATCCAGGTAAGTTGTAACACACTCATGACGATCCAAGGCCAAGCGCCAATCCTCTACCTCATCCAGGTAAGTTGTAACACACTCATGACGATCCAAGGCCAAGCGCCAATCCTCTACCTAATCAAAGTAAGGTTATAACACACTCGTGACGATCCAAGGCCAAGCGCCAATCCTCTACCCTATCCAAGTACGGTTGTAACACACTCGTGACGATCCAAGGCCAAGCGCCAATCCTCTACGCTATCCAAGTACGGTTGTAACACACTCGTGACGATCCAAGGCCAAGCGCCAATCCTCTACCTAATCCAGGTAAGTTGTAACACACTCGTGACGATCCAAGGCCAAGCGCCAATCCTCTACCCTATCCAAGTAGGGTCGTTACACACTCGTGCCGATCCAAGGCCAAGCGCCAATCCTCTACCTAATCCAGGTAAGTTGTAACACACTCATGACGATCCAAGGCCAAGCGCCAATCCTCTACCTAATCCAGGTAAGTTGTAACACACTCATGACGATCCCTTAAGCTGGTGGATTTTAGTATAGTTTAGTTGCAAAAAGCTAAAATACACCTAAAATCTTTGTTTTCAACCATGTTTTTGTAAAATTCCTCAAATTGTGATGATGACAATAATAAATGTAAATTGCAAATCATTACTAGGCATGATAATATATACATTTGTCTTGAAATGGTTTTTTAAGTCATGCTAAAAATATTGTGTCGGTGATATAATTTGTTTTTGAAAGAAATTTTCTGTTGTGTTTTAAAAATAAGGAGCTTACCTAATTTTGCTGCAGTTACAGGACCGTGTTTTGAATTCGTCTGTTGATACAACTATGTAAAGCGTATTTCGAAATGTATGGATGTTCTGTACTTGCAGTTTCCACTCTGTCTCAGGGCGAGTCAGTGTCGGCAATAAACTGAAACATTCTTGAAAGTTGTTTGCACAGCAACATAACAGGGAGTCGACGAGAGATTATTTGCGAAGTTGGAGAACTTCTGAAATTGTTACTTTTGATACCAGCAACCAATGCTGTGAGTGAACGCTCAGCATCAGCATTGCGCAGAATCAAAACCTATTTGCGATCAACAATGACACAACAACGTCTGGAAAACTGCATGCTACTTCATGTCCACAAAGAGGCGACTGCATCTATTAATTTAGTTGATGTTGCAAATGAATTTGTAAACAACGAAAACCGCGAGAGGGTATTTGGGAAGTTCACATCAGATGACCGATTTCGCATAGCTTCTTTGTTCGATAAGATCAAGTAAAACCTTTCATATTATAAAGATTGAAATATTTCAACGATATGATTCAAAGAAATGAATATATACTATGTTGTCACAGAATTATATTTTGTCAGTACATTGTATATGATATGATGAAAATTGACCTACTAAAACTTAATTATCATTGAATATTAAATATCTGTAAAATTTGCAATTTTTATTTTTATTTTGACAAAAACTATTTAGGGGGGTGGGGCTTTATATCACATTCACTGACTGTACAATACATGATATACAGAACCACCCTTCTGTTGATTTAGAAAGACAGTCACATTCACTAACTGTACAATACAGAACCAGCCTTCTGTAGATTTAGAAAGACAGTCACAGTCACTGACTGTACAATACAGAACCAGCCTTCTGTAGATTTAGAAAGACAGTCACAGTTATAATGTAATTGCTTTACTTTAGTACGAGTTGCTTCCCTTTACTCAGTATTGCAGTATACACATGTATTATGTAAGCGACCTTTATCATTATGTAAGGGGCAGGCGACCCTAATAAAAGTACAGTTTGAACGCCATCTTGAGAGTCTGGTCGTATATCACATGGTGTCATAAGTAAACTGGAAAACGACATACTATGGATCAATTAAAGCCTCCATCGTCACTCAGCCTAGAAGGTAATTTGCTAGAGAACTGGAAAGAATGGATCCAGGGGTTCGAATTATATCTGACAGCCACAGGCATAGGTGAGAAAGTCGGGAAGGTGCAAGTCGCCACATTCCTACACGTTGCAGGCATTGAAGCACGCCGTGTCTACAATACATTTGTCATTGCCGAGGACGATAAAGACAATATAGAAGTCTTGAAAACAAAGTTTAAAGACTACTGTGAACCACGAAAGAACGTTACATACACTAGGCATATATTCAACACACGATCACAGTCAATTCATGAAACTTTTGACTCTTTCGTCACCGACTTAAAGAATAAAACACAGCAGTGTGAATTCGAAAACCTGAAAGATGAGTTAATAAGAGACCGCATTGTGTATGGTATCAGAGATGAGGCATGTCGTAGGCGTTTATTGCGTGAATCTGATCTGACATGAAAAAAAAGCTGTTGACATTTGTCGTGCACATGAAGTCAGTACTGAGCAAATGAAAAGTTTAGATCAACATGGAGCGTCAGCAGAAGTCCATGCAATTTCACGTCAAGTCAAAAACAAAGGAACACACCGAGATAAGCGTTATAAACCGCGCAAGCCACCAGTAGTGCAGAGCGCCAGCCACCAGCAGTGTAGAAACTGTGGTACACAGCATGAACTTGGTAAAGGGTTATGTCCTGCATATGGTAAAGAATGTTACAATTGCCATAGACAAAATCACTTCTCAAAACAATGTATGACAAAAGTGAAACAAAAAGCGAATCCGAAAGCAGTTCATACTGTCAGTCAAGAAAGCGATGATGAATTTTTCATAGGTACTGTCAGAGTGATAGATAGTATAAGCCAAGACCCAGATACTGAAGACTGGACTGAGAAGTTAGTGTTAAACTCAAAACCAGTAGAGTTTAAATTGGATACTGGAGCACAAGCAAACATTTTGCCGAAAAAAGTATACAACAGTTTGCAGTTGAGTAACAAACGACTTGTGAAGACCAAAACCAAGCTAGGAAATTCCCGTTCAATTCCGTGAGAAAACGTACAACGCACAATGCTACATTGTTGACATTGACACACAACCTATACTTGGAAGGAAAACGTGTAGTGACATTGGTTCTGTGTTACGTGTTCATTCCATTGAAAAAACAATTACTGAACATGACATTGTCAATGAACACAGTGATGTGTTCGAAAGTCTATGATTGCTGCCAGGAGAACATAAAATTCAACTTGATACATCCGTCGCGCCCGTAGTGCATCCCCCAAGGAGAGTACCTGCTGCCTTACGTGACAGAGTGAGTACCGAACTCGACCGTATGGTATCGTTAGGCGTCATTGCGAAACAGGATGAGCCGACCGACTGGGTACATAGTATGGTTACTGTCGTTAAACCGGGTAAAACTCGAGTGTGTATCGACCCGAAAGACTTGAACTGTGCGATTAAACGAGAACACTACCCCTTGGAGACAATCGACGAAATCGTAGCGAGACTACCGAACGCGAAAGCATTTTCTCGATTCGACGCGACACATGGATTCTGGCAGATTGGCCTAGATTCGGAAAGTTCAAAACTACTAACTTTCAATACTCCTTTTAGTAGGTACCGATATCTACGGTTGCCGTTTGGTATATCCTCAGCACCGGAAGTATTTACGAAACGAGTGAAACGTAAAATGTTTGAGGACATCTCTGGAGTAGTGTGCATAGTAGACGACATTCTCGTATGGGGCGGGAACGACAAGCAACATGATGAACGTGTTCGCTTAATGCTTCAACGAGCGAGAGAGCGAAATTTCAAACTCAACAAAACAAAAATGGAACTCCGTGTACCGGTAGTACAGTATGTAGGCCATGTCATCAGTAAAGATGGACTGAAAGTTGACCCCGACAAGGTCAGAGCAATTATGGAGATGCCCGCACCCGAAGATAAAGCAGGGGTAAAACGTTTCCTAGGTGTCGTACAATATCTTGCGAAATTCATCGAAAACTTGTCTGAAATATCTCCACTCCGCGAGTTGCTACAGAAAGACGTAGTGTGGTACTGCCCCCCCCCCCTCCCATGATGTGAATCAACCTGTCACCTTATCGGTAGATGCGAGTTCAAAAGGGTTGGGTGCCGTGCTGATCCAGAATGGACATCCCGTTACGTGTGGTTCGAGAGCCCTGACTGAAACACAGATGCGTTACGCGCAAATCGAACGCGAGATGTTAGCAATTCTGTACCGTTGTGAGAAATTTCACCAGTATATCTATGGTCGTTATGCCACGGTAGAAACCGATCACAAACCGCTAGTCACCATACATGCGAAACCGATATCACAGTCTACGCCGCGTCTTCAGCGAATGTTGATGCGATTACAACGATATGATCTAGTGTATAAACCGGGAAAAGAAATGTATATATCCGACGCGTTATCCCGAGCGTATCTGAACGAAACGACAGAATCGTTAGTCGACGAGGAACTAGATGTGAACTATCTAGAGGAACAATTGCCTGTTTCCGCCGAGAAACTAGCCGAATTGAAACGCGAAACTGCCTCAGACACTAGTTTACAGAAACTCGTGAACACCATAAACAATGGTTGGCCAGACATCTAGAGGATGTGGACCGTGATATTAGCGAATACTGGAATTGTCGCGATGAACTAACAGAAATCAAGGGTCTGTTGTACAGAAACCAGAGATTGATTATTCCACAATCTCTTCGCCGTGAAATGTTAGAAAAACTTTACGTAGCTCACCTGGGTATTGTCAAGACAAAACAGAGAGCACGTCAAATTCTATTTTGGCCGAGAATGAACCATGACATAGAACAAATCGTGTCAAAATGCGCAGTGTGCAATCAATACCGCAAATCAAACAGCAAGGAACCGCTTATTCCGCATGACATTCCGTCACACCCATGGTTGAAAGTAGGAGCAGATTTGTTCAACTACAAAGGAAAAGAATATCTCTTGTGTGTAGATTACTATTCAAAATACCCTGAAATCGTGCTACTACAAGACCTATCAAGCAAAACAACTGTCACCGCGTTAAAGTCAATATTTGCACGTCATGGAATCCCGCAGGAAGTCGTAACTGATAATGGACCTCAGTCTGCAAGCGCTACATTCCGTAAGTTTAGTCATGATTGGGAATTTACTCACACTACCTCAAGTCCTAGATATCCGAAATCTAATGGACAAGCCGAGCGTTGTGTCCAGACAGTGAAAAACTTACTGAAAAAGGCTGATGAAAGCAATGGAGACATCTACATCGCGTTGCTAGAGTACCGGGCATCACCAATTGATGGAGTAAACCAATCCCCAGCGAAAATGCTCATGAACAGACAAGTGAAAACTAAATTACCGTCTTCGATATTAGCACAAGAATCACTGCCGTCACTGAAACCGCAACTACAACATCGTCAAAAACTGCAAAAGATATATCATGACCGTAACCAGTGTGTTACCGCGTCACCCGTACACTCAGGAGAAATTGTGCATGTTCAAAATTCTGTAAACCGTAGATGGGAACCAGCTGTTGTTCATAAACGAGCGAACACTCCACGATCATACGTAGTAAAAACCGCTGATGGAAAGTATTACCGTTGTAACAGAAAACACATAAACCAAACAGGAGAAACACAGTTTGTGCAGAGAAATAGAGACACAGATGATGTAGATATTCCAGAACCAAACGAACCGTGTGCCGTTGAAACTGAAATCGAACCGCGGCCGAACATTGTGAATACACGCGTACACCGTGGAAGTACAATCACAAGATCCGGAAGAGTCAGTTCGAGACCAGCTTATCTGAATGACTATGTGCAGTAACTTTGTCAATCACCTCAAGTATTGTGTTTAGGACTGGTTAAAAACAAAAGTATTTTACTTAAAACTTAAAAAGGGAGATGTAATGCAATTGCTTTACTTTAGTACGAGTTGCTTCCCTTTACTCAGTATTGCAGTACACACAAGTATTATGTAAGCGACCTTTATTATTATGTACAGTTTGAACGCCATCTTGAGAGTCTGGTCGTATCACAACAGTCACTGACTGTACAATACAGAACCAGCCTTCTGTAGATTTAGAAAGACTGTCACATTGATATCAGCCGTTAATTTAATTTATCATAATGTGTTACTGGTTTAGAAACAACAGTTATGGCGCCTCCATGTCGATGAGAACTGCTTACGGTTTGGACAGAGCAGGCGTATATTTTTCTGCTATGTGTGACCTGTGTGAAAATTTTCACACAATATGTACTCGTAACAATAATGGAGTTTTAAATTACTAAATGTAAAACCTGCCTCTTGTGGATAAAAACTTGTCAACTGGTGAAGTGTGTATATTACAGTCCCATACATGTAATGTTTGGTTTATCAACAGTAAGCATTTTCTGAGGTAATTTCCCATTTTGACAAAGACGATAAGCTATAGTGTATGGGGTGCCGTTTTAATTTTTATTCCAAATTAAGTGATAATACTACAAAAATTACTTCGATAATGATGTGTTGATGCTTCAATAATACGCACCAGGATTAAACTAATACGCACCAGGATTAAACCAATACATACCACTATTAATATATTAACACCGTGCATTCGTATGATTTTTTTTTTTCTACATTTCGACAAGGACCTTGTCGTGATGTCTCGTACAGCATGCTTTAAAGAGATTACGTTCGTCATTAGTTTTTAGAAAATTTGCAAGAATTTCGTCCCATTTATACCTATTTCCGTCTCGTTAGAATATCATAATAGACTAGCATTTTTGTATACACAAACAATTGGCAAACGAGCTGATGTACAACAACACTATATCCTTAAAAACCTGTCATTTCCAGCCGACTAAAAACAAACAACCGTGAAAACGGGCTGGTCATATTACCTCCCCAGATCACACGTAAAACGGCCATTACATCTGTCTAGTCAGCTTGTCCTCCTACATTTCTCATCAATAAACCTATATGAAACACATATGGGTAAATTATTAATTTCTGCTATTAGCATCGATAGGCATGGTGTTATTTTCCAGTAGTTAGAAAATTGATTGAGAATGGAATAAATATAAAGTTAGTAGTAGCTATTTTATGATATGAAAACTAACAAGTTAAAATTTTAATGTAAGCCAAATTTGAGGCTAGAAGGAGTAGCTAAAACCGGAAACGGTGTCAATATGTCAGACCGATTAACGGACCTAAATTTACACAAACTATGACAGCGGTGTTGGCATTTATCTACAGTGGACATACAAGGTCAAGGACGGTAGATTGGCTAGTGGACGATGGTAGGATTACCGTTGTTTTCGTAAATAAGTTGGATCCCATATCTCTTTTCTGTTGCTTTTTTCAAACCAATATTTATTGAAAAACCGCTTCGCTGTTTATTAATTTCTGGACTTCTAAACTGTAATGTCCGTACTGTTACCAGATGTCCATACAAACAAATGTGTCTGTTATGTCCGTACTGTTACCGGACGTCCAGACAAACAAATGTGTCTGTTATGTCCGTACTGTAACCGGACGTCCAGACAAGGAAATGTGTCTGTTATGTCCGTACTGTTACCGGATGTCCAGACAAACAAATGTGTCTGTTATGTCCGTACTTTTACCGGCCGTTCATACAAACGAATAATCCAGGTTCCACTTTATTCATAAGCTTAAACGCCTACGTTGAGAATCGAACACATGACTATTAGTTTTACGCTCAAACGATCGAGCTGAAGTTAAGATCTCTCTAGCCACATATTTCTACCCTTTAATAGGGGTACATTTATACATTCCAAAATATCCGTATTAACTGGGTCCCGCTGAACACAAGGAGTGGACGTCCCGAGTCCCGGTGACTACCAAAAGATCCAAATATCAGAGTATCTGAACGACAGAGATTTGGTTTTATCCATAAACCAAAAAGTGTCAAGATGGAAGAGGCATTGGTTTATGGACGAATCGGAAATTAGAGAGTTCAGCTTAATACACAAAACATAGGGTCCGGACAAGAGAGGATCTATTTAATACACAAAACATAGGGTCCGGACGGGAGAGGTTCTATTTAATACACAAACCAAAGGGTCCGGACGAGAGAGGTTATAGTTAATACACAAACCAAAGGGTTCGGACGAGAGATGTTCTACTTAAAACACAAAACAAAGGGTCCGGACGAGAGAGGTTCTACTTAATACACAAACCAAAGGGTACGGACGAGAGAGGTTCTACTTAATACACAAAACAAAGGGTCCGGACGAGAGAGGTTCTACTTAATACACAAAACAAAGGTCCGGACGAGAGAGGTTCTACTTAATACACAAACCAAAGGGTCCGGACGAGAGAGGTTCTACTTAATACACAAAACATAGGGTCCGGACGAGAGAGGTTCTATTTAATACACAAAACATAGGGTCCGGACGAGAGAGGTTCTACTTAATACACAAACCTAAGGGTCCGGACGAGAGGGGTTCTAGTTAATACACAAACCAAAGGGTACGGACGAGAGAGGTTCTACTTAATACACAAAACATAGGGTCCGGACGAGAGAGGTTCTATTTAATACACAAAGCAAAGGGTCCGGACGAGAGAGGTTCTATTTAATACACAAAGCAAAGGGTCCGGACGAGAGATGTTCTAGTTAATACACAAACAAAAGGGTCCGGACGAGAGAGTTTCTACTTAATACACAAAACAAAGGTCCGGACGAGAGATGTTATACTTAATACACAAAACAAAGGGTCCGGACGAGAGAGGTTCTACTTAATACACAAAACATAGGGTCCGGACGAGAGAGGTTCTACTTAATACACAAAACAAAGGTCCGGACGAGAGAGGTTCTACTTACTACACAAAACATAGGGTCCGGACGAGAGAGGTTCTACTTAATACACAAAACAAAGGGTCCGGACGAGAGAGGTTCTATTAATACACAAAACAAAGGGTCTAGAGAGGTTCTACTAAATACACAAAGCAAAGGGTCCGGACGAGAGGGGTTCTAGTTAATACACAAACCAAAGGGTCCGGACGAAAGAGGTTCTAGTTAATACACAAAACAAAGGGTCCGGACGAGAGAGGTTCTATTTAATACACAAAACATAGGGTCCGGACGAGAGATGTTCTACTTAATACACAAAACATAGGGTCCGGATAAGAGAGGTTCTACTTAATACACAAACCTAAGGGTCCGGACGAGAGAGGTTCTAGTTAATACACAAACCAAAGGGTCCGGACGAGAGAGGTTCTACTTAATACACAAACCAAAGGGTCCGGACGAGAGAGGTTCTACTTACTACACAAAACATAGGGTCCGGACGAGAGAGGTTCTATTTAATACACAAAGCAAAGGGTCCGGACGAGAGAGGTTCTATTTAATACACAAAGCAAAGGGTCCGGACGAGAGATGTTCTAGTTAATACACAAACCAAAGGGTCCGGACGAGAGAGGTTCTATTTAATACACAAAGCAAAGGGTCCGGACGAGAGATGTTCTAGTTAATACACAAAACAAAGGGTCCGGACGAGAGAGGTTCTACACAAAACAAAGGGTGAATACACAAAGCAAAGGGTCCGGACGAGAGGGGGTTCTATTTAATACACAAAGCAAAGGGTCCGGACGAGAGAGGTTCTACTTAATACACAAAACATAGGGTCCGGAATACACAAAACAAAGGTTCTACGAGAGAGGTTCTATACACAAAACAAAGGGTCCGGACGAGAGAGGTTCTATTTAATACACAAAGCAAAGGGTCCGGACGAGAGAGGTTCTACTTAATACACAAAACATAGGGTCCGGACGAGAGAGGTTCTACTTAATACACAAAACAAAGGGTCCGGACGAGAGATGTTCTACTTAATACACAAAACATAGGGTCCGGACGAGAGAGGTTCTACTTAATACACAAACCAAAGGGTCCGGACGAGAGAGGTTCTACTTAATACACAAAACAAAGGTCCGGACGAGAGAGGTTCTACTTAATACACAAACCAAAGGGTCCGGACGAGAGAGGTTCTACTTAATACACAAAACATAGGGTCCGGACGAGAGAGGTTCTACTTAATACACAAACCAAAGGGTCCGGACGAGAGAGGTTCTAGTTAATACACAAACCAAAGGGTCCGGACGAGAGAGGTTCTAGTTAATACACAAAACAAAGGGTCCGGACGAGAGAGGTTCTATTTAATACACAAAGCAAAGGGTCCGGACGAGAGAGGTTCTATTTAATACACAAAACAAAGGGTCCGGACGAGAGAGGTTCTATTTAATACACAAAGCAAAGGGTCCGGACGAGAGAGGTTCTATTTAATACACAAAGCAAAGGGTCCGGACGAGAGAGGTTCTATTTAATACACAAAGCAAAGGGTCCGGACGAGAGGGGTTCTATTTAATACACAAAGCAAAGGGTCCGGACGAGAGATGTTCTAGTTAATACACAAAACATAGGGTCCGGACGAGAGATGTTCTAGTTAATACACAAAACAAAGGGTCCGGACGAGAGAGGTTCTACTTAATACACAAAACATAGGGTCCGGACGAGAGAGGTTCTATTTAATACACAAAGCAAAGGGTCCGGACGAGAGAGGTTCTATTTAATACACAAAGCAAAGGGTCCGGACGAGAGAGGTTCTAGTTAATACACAAAGCAAAGGGTCCGGACGAGAGAGGTTCACAAAACATAGGGTATTTAATACACAAAGCAAAGGGTCCGGAAGAGATGTTCTAGTTAATACACAAACCAAAGGGTTAATACACAAACCAAAGGACGAGAGAGGTTCTAGTTAATACACAAAACATAGGTTCTACTTAATACACAAAACATAGGGTCCGGACGAGAGAGGTTCTAGTTAATACACAAACCAAAGGGTCCGGACGAGAGAGGTTCTAGTTAATACACAAAGCAAAGGGTCCGGACGAGAGAGGTTCTATTTAATACACAAAGCAAAGGGTCCGGACGAGAGAGGTTCTATTTAATACACAAAGCAAAGGGTCCGGACGAGAGATGTTCTAGTTAATACACAAACCAAAGGGTCCGGACGAGAGAGGTTCTATTTAATACACAAAGCAAAGGGTCCGGACGAGAGATGTTCTAGTTAATACACAAAACAAAGGGTCCGGACGAGAGAGGTTCTCCTGAATACACAAAGCAAAGGGTCCGGACGAGAGGGGTTCTATTTAATACACAAACCAAAGGGTCCGGACGAGAGATGTTCTAGTTAATACACAAAACATAGGGTCCGGACGAGAGATGTTCTAGTTAATACACAAAACAAAGGGTCCGGACGAGAGAGGTTCTAGTTAATACACAAACCAAAATGTTGAAATGCAAGGATGAAAATGAGGATTGAATCTACGACGATGTTTATCAGTTGTGTGTCTGTTATCGTTAATGGGATCCGGGTTCTATAAAGCTACATGTTGATGTCTTTACATGTAGTCACCAGATAACCACCGTTTGTTCATTCCATAGTTTATAGGTTTTACAATTCTCCACCCTAGATCGAATGCTCACTCGATATCCTGACGTAAACTAGTCCACTAGTGTATTGTTTTCAAACAAAGATTGTATTCTTTACTTCTTGCTGAAATGAGCTTCCTTATCAATTTCTATCAATTTTAACAGACGTTTTATTACATTGCCATATAAAACGATATCATCCTATTTTCTGTGTATTACTTTGAGCCGATAACTAACCATACTTTTAAATGACTGTACCGGTGGTTCCAGCTGGTACATTTCAATGAGGTCAAGTTAGGTTACAATAAGTATTAACAGCTATATAACGGGGCGGGGGCGTTTTAGGGGGAATATCTAGAATCAAACTAAAGCCAGCTCTTATGGTCCTTAACGGGCCTATATTCCATGAGAATTGTACCAATCACGGCATGTTTCAGTGGCTATTGGGACAGAATAACCCTTTGCGTGCCAACATTTGTGTGAGCGATGCGGCTATGCGCCATGTGATACAAATTATGAACCGTCTGCATTGTTTGTATCGGGTCGGTTTACGTAATAAAATGTACATACGGTGATTTCTTCCGCGTGAATAATTTATAAAGTATTAGTGTAAATTAGAGTCTGTTTTATATGTTGTGCTGTACACCGTAGGAGTATAATGTGCCCGTTCTGATGTGTAGCGACCTACGTATACTCGTCCAGAGACTTTGATCCTACTGTGTCAGGCTTCATGTGTGGAGGGATATTATAGTGAACTTAAGTGAAGCCAATTAATACTTTTAGTGATCATTATGGCCGTAGCGACAGCTGTCACTACCATCTTATTGGGAAGTTTAGCATTTCTCGTCCTTGTCGACTATTGTGCCTGTTTAGAAGGAAATGTCCACAACTTTCGGTGTTATACCGCAAGGTACGTATTAGTTTTGTTTCCTTTTACAACAAATTTAACGATATTAATAACTTCCGGTGCGTCATTGGGAGGTTGATCAATACATACAACATTGAGTCATAAAAATCACTCCCTTAGTTTTGTAAAAGGAACAATGTTCTGAAGTTTTGCATTTGTTTTGGTTTTGGCTGTTGATTTGACTCGTTGCTATGTATGAAATGTTAAATTTGATCAGTACACCTAAGGCCTTCTCTTGTTAGCTGCATCGTAGTAAATGTTTTCGAAATGATACCATATTGTCGTTTTATTGTTGGCCATACCGCCATAGTACACACTCTGTCTTCAATTTAGTTCTCATCTCCTTAGGTATGTGGTAAGGAATATGAGGATGTGAACAGCTAGGCTTCGTCAAGTACCCCGTCTCAAAACATCAACATGCTTTCGTGACGTGTATGACCTTTCAATGACCTTACAGATATGACAGCATAAAGAGACTATTCCCGTTACTACACAGACAGTCCCCGGTACAACACGGATAATTCCCGGTACTACACAGACAATCCCCGGTACTACACAGACAGTCCCCGGTACAACACAGACAGTCCCCGGTACAACACAGACAATTCCCGGTACTACACAGACAATCCCGGTACAACACAGACAATCCCCGGTACTACACAGACAATCCCCGGTACTACAAAGACAATTCCCGGTACTACACAGACAGTCCCTGGTACTACAAAGACAATTCCCGGTACTACACAGACAGTCCCCGGTACAACACAGACAATCCCCTGCACAACACAGACAATCCCCTGTACAACACAGACAGTCCTCGGTACAACACGGATAATTCCCGGTACTACACAGACAATCCCCGGTACTACACAGATAATCCCGGTACAACACAGACAATCCCCGGTACTACACAGAGAGTCCCCGGTACAACACAAACAATTCCCGGTACAACACAGACAATCCCCTGTACAACACAGACAACCCTGGTACAACACTGTACAACACAGACAATCCCCTGTACAACACTGTACAACACAGACAATCCCCGGTACTACACAGACAATTCCCGGTACAACATAGACAATCCCCGGTACAACACTGTACAACACAGACAATCCCCGGTACAACACAGACAGTCCTCGGTACAACACGGATAATTCCCAGTACTACACAGACAATCCCCGGTACTACACAGATAATCCCGGTACAACAAAGACAATCCCCGGTACTACACAGATAATCCCCGGTACTACAAAGACAATTCCCGGTACTACACAGACAATCCCCTGTACAACACAGACAACCCTGGTACAACAATGTACAACACAGACAATCCCCTGTACAACACTGTACAACACAGACAATCCCCGGTACTACACAGACAATTCCCGGTACAACATAGACAATCCCCGGTACAACACTGTACAACACAGACAATCCCCGGCACAACACAGACAGTCCTCGGTACAACACGGATAATTCCCAGTACTACACAGACAATCCCCGGTACTACACAGATAATCCCGGTACAACACAGACAATCCCCGGTACTACACAGACAATCCCCGGTACTACAAAGACATTCCCGGTACTACACAGACAGTCCCCGGTACAACACAAACAATTCCCGGTACAACACAGGCAATCCCCTGTACAACACAGACAACCCCGGTACAACACTGTACAACACAGACAATCCCCTGTACAACACTGTATAACACAGACTATCCCCGATACTACACAGACAATTCCCGGTACAACATAGACAATCCCCGGTACAACACTGACAACACAGACAATCCCCGGTACTACACAGACAGTCCTCGGTACAACACAGACAATCCACGGTACTACACAGACAATCCCCGGTACAACACAGACAGTCCCCGGTACAACACAGACAATCAACTGTACAACACAGACAATTCCAGTTGATTGTCTGTGTTGTACCGGGGATTGTCTGTGTAGTACCGTGGATTGTCTGTGTTGTACCGAGGACTGTCTGTGTAGTACCGGGGATTGTCTGTGTTGTACAGTGTTGTACCGGGGATTGTCTATGTTGTACCGGGAATTGTCTGTGTAGTACCGGGGATTGTCTGTGTTGTACAGTGTTGTACAGGGGATTGTCTGTGTTGTAGTGTTGTACCGGGGTTGTCTGTGTTGTACCGGGGACTGTCTGTGTTGTACAGGGGACTGTCTGTGTTGTACAGGGGACTGTGTTGTACAGGGGACTGTCTGTGTTTTACCGGGCACTGTCTGTGTTGTACCGAGGACTGTCTGTGTAGTACCGGGAATTGTCTGTGTTGTACCGGGGACTGTCTGTGTTGTACCGGGAACTGTCTGTGTTGTACAGGGGACTGTCTGTGTTGTACCGGGCACTGTCTGTGTAGTACCGGGGACTGTCTGTGTTGTACCGGGGACTGTCTGTGTTGTACAGGGGACTGTGTTGTACAGGGGACTGTCTGTGTTGTACCGGGGACTGTCTGTGTTGTACAGGGGACTGTCTGTGTTGTACCGGGCACTGTCTGTGTTGTACAGGGGACTGTCTGTGTTGTACCGAGCACTGTCTGTGTTGTACCGAGGACTGTCTGTGTAGTACCGGGAATTATCCGTGTTGTACCGGGGACTGTCTCTGTTGTACCGGGGACTCTGACACGTTTATCAGAGGTGTGACAGCATTTCATTTTCATTATTACAGTATGTAAGGAATTTCCTTTTATTTCGGAGGCAAAATACATGAAAGAGAAAGCTGATTAAGTCGTTCAGTACTGCATTGTGAGATGACACAAGTCAGGCAATACGAATTTTAAAAAATGCAATCTCACTACCGTAACTGCTGTAAAGCCTTGCACGTTCTCTAGTACGTGCCCCACTACAGACATTAACTTAACACCAACATCGATATCGTCCAAGCTAGCATAATTAAACGGCAGGTCTGTTTCATTTCAAATCTCTATTTTGAAATTTTCATCTTCGATCGGGTTTCTTATAATAACTTTGTATAAAGATAACACTGAGAGATATGTATGGAAGCTCACATATGTCATAATTTGAAAAATAATGGGAAACCTTTCTCTCTTATATCACTACATAACTTTTTGTGGAATTATACAAGACATATACCGTGTTTTGTTTTATAAAAAAAAAAGTCATTATCTAATATCACTATAATGGTGAATTATACAACAAAACCCGAGGTAAACTAAAGAAACACTCTGTAATAAGCCATTATATAATATCACTCGTCACTAATAGTGAATTATACAACAAACCGGTACAAAGCGGACACATTATCTAATATCACTATAATGGTGAATTATACAACAAACCGGTACAAAGTGGACACATTATCTAATATCACTATAATGGTGAATTATACAACAAACCGGTACAACAAACCGGTACAAAGGGACACATTATCTAATATCACTATAATGGTGAATTATACAACAAACCGGTACAAAGCGGACACATTATCTAATATCACTATAATGGTGAATTATACAACAAACCGGTACAAAGCGGACACATTATCTAATATCACTATAATGGTGAATTATACAACAAACCGGTACAAAGCGGACACATTATCTAATATCACTATAATGGTGAATTATACAACAAACCGGTACAAAGTGGACACATTATCTAATATCACTATAATGGTGATTTATACAACAAACCGGTACAAAGTGGACACATTATCTAATATCACTATAATGGTGATTTATACAACAAACCGGTACAAAGCGGACACATTATCTAATATCACTATAATGGTGAATTATACAACAAACCGGTACAAAGCGGACACATTATCTAATATCACTATAATGGTGAATTATACAACAAACCGGTACAAACAAAGCTATAATGGTGACACATTGTCTAATATCACTATAATGGTGAATTATACAACAAACCGGTACAAAGCGGACACATTATCTAATATCACTATAATGGTGAATTATACAACAAACCGGTACAAACAAAGCGGACACATTGTCTAATATCACTATAATGGTGAATTATACAACAAACCGGTACAAAGTGGACACATTATCTAATATCACTATAATGGTGAATTATACAACAAACCGGTACAAACAAAGCGGACACATTATCTAATATCACTATAATGGTGAATTATACAACAAACCGGTACAAAGTGGACACATTATCTAATATCACTATAATGGTGAATTATACAACAAACCGGTACAAAGCGGACACATTATCTAATATCACTATAATGGTGAATTATACAACAAACCGGTACAAACAAAGCGGACACCTTATCTAATATCACTATAATGGTGAATTATACAACAAACCGGTACAAAGTGGACACAATATCTAATATCACTATAATGGTGAATTATACAACAAACCGGTACAAAGTGGACACATTATCTAATATCACTATAATGGTGAATTATACAACAAACCGGTACAAAGCGGACACATTATCTAATATCACTATAATGGTGAATTATACAACAAACCGGTACAAACAAAGCGGACACATTATCTAATATCACTATAATGGTGAATTATACAACAAACCGGTACAAAGTGGACACATTATCTAATATCACTATAATGGTGAATTATACAACAAACCGGTACAAACAAAGCGGACACATTATCTAATATCACTATAATGGTGAATTATACAACAAACCGGTACAAACAAAGCGGACACATTATCTAATATCACTATAATGGTGAATTATACAACAAACCGGTACAAACAAAGCGGACACCTTATCTAATATCACTATAATGGTGAATTATACAACTAACCGGTACAAAGCGGACACATTATCTAATATCACTATAATGGTGAATTATACAACAAACCGGTACAAAGTGGACACATTATCTAATATCACTATAATGGTGAATTATACAACAAACCGGTACAAAGTGGACACATTATCTAATATCACTATAATGGTGAATTATACAACAAACCGGTACAAAGCGGACACATTATCTAATATCACTATAATGGTGAATTATACAACAAACCGGTACAAAGTGGACACATTATCTAATATCACTATAATGGTGAATTATACAACAAACCGGTACAAAGTGGACACATTATCTAATATCACTATAATGGTGAATTATACAACAAACCGGTACAAAGTGGACACATTATCTAATATCACTATAATGGTGAATTATACAACAAACCGGTACAAAGTGGACACATTATCTAATATCACTATAATGGTGAATTATACAACAAACCGGTACAAAGTGGACACATTATCTAATATCACTATAATGGTGAATTATACAACAAACCGGTACAAAGTGGACACACATTATCTAATATCACTATAATGGTGAATTATACAACAAACCGGTACAAAGTGGACACATTATCTAATATCACTATAATGGTGAATTATACAACAAACCGGTACAAAGTGGACACATTATCTAATATCACTATAATGGTGAATTATACAACAAACCGGTACAAAGTGGACACATTATCTAATATCACTATAATGGTGAATTATACAACAAACCGGTACAAAGTGGACACATTATCTAATATCACTATAATGGTGAATTATACAACAAACCGGTACAAAGTGGACACATTATCTAATATCACTATAATGGTGAATTATACAACAAACCGGTACAAAGTGGACACATTATCTAATATCACTATAATGGTGAATTATACAACAAACCGGTACAAAGTGGACACATTATCTAATATCACTATAATGGTGAATTATACAACAAACCGGTACAAAGTGGACACAATATCTAATATCACTATAATGGTGAATTATACAACAAACCGGTACAAAGTGGACACCTTATCTAATATCACTATAATGGTGAATTATACAACAAACCACATTATCTAATATCACTATAATGGTACAACAAACCGGTACAAAGCGGACAAAGGTGAATTATACAACAAACCGGTACAAAGACACATTATCTAATATCACTATAATGGTGAATTATACAACAAACCGGTACAAAGTGGACACATTATCTAATATCACTATAATGGTGAATTATACAACAAACCGGTACAAACAAAGCGGACACCTTATCTAATATCACTATAATGGTGAATTATACAACAAACCGGTACAAAGTGGACACCTTATCTAATATCACTATAATGGTGAATTATACAACAAACCGGTACAAAGTGGACACATTATCTAATATCACTATAATGGTGAATTATACAACAAACCGGTACAAAGTAGGACACATTATCTAATATCACTATAATGGTGAATTAATATAACAATATCACTATAATGGTGAAAGCTTAAATGTAACTATGATCTGGTTCCCTGTTGTGTTTTTCTTAAACGGAACAAGGAATGTAACTATGATCTGGTTCCCTGTTGTGTTTTTCTTAAACAGAACAAGTAATGTAACTAGAATCTGGTTCCCTGTTATGTTTTTCTTAAACGGAACAAGGAATGTAACTATGATCTTGTTCCCTGTTATCTTTTTTTCTTAAACGGAACAAGGAATGTAACTATGATCTGGTTCCCTGTTATGTTTTTCTTAAACGGAACAAGGAATGTAACTATGATCTAGTTCCCTGTTATGTTTTTTTCTTAAACGGAACAAGGAATGTAACTATGATCTGGTTCCCTGTTATGTTTTTCTTAAACGGAACAAGGAATGTAACTATGATCTAGTTCCCTGTTATGTTTTTTTCTTAAACGGAACAAGGAATGTAACTAGAATCTGGTTCCCTGTTGTGTTTTTCTTAAACGGAACAAGGAATGTAACTATGATCTAGTTCCCTGTTATGTTTTTTTCTTAAACGGAACAAGGAATGTAACTAGAATCTGGTTCCCTGTTGTGTTTTTCTTAAACGGAACAAGGAATGTAACTATGATCTAGTTCCCTGTTATGTTTTTTTCTTAAACGGAACAAGGAATGTAACTAGAATCTGGTTCCCTGTTGTGTTTTTCTTAAACGGAACAAGGAATGTAACTAGAATCTGGTTCCCTGTTGTGTTTTTCTTAAACGGAACAAGGAATGTAACTAGAATCTGGTTCCCTGTTGTGTTTTTCTTAAACGGAACAAGGAATGTAACTATGATCTGGTTCCCTGTTGTGTTTTTCTTAAACGGAACAAGGAATGTAACTATGATCTGGTTCCCTGTTGTGTTTTTCTTAAACGGAACAAGGAATGTAACTAGAATCTGGTTCCCTGTTGTGTTTTTCTTAAACGGAACAAGGAATGTAACTATGATCTGGTTCCCTGTTGTGTTTTTCTTAAACGGAACAAGGAATGTAACTATGATCTGGTTCCCTGTTATGTTTTTTCTTAAACGGAACAAAGAATGTAACTATGATCTGGTTCTCAGGTCTGTTTCCTTAAATGGAAGAAAATGCCTATTTCCTGTGTGTCATATTTTCGTTAGGATTGCTAGAAGCTGTATGACCTTAAGTCTCATTATCATACTAATCATTACTTGTAATCCGCGGTGAAAATGTAGTAAAACTTCATATAAAAGGACTACAGCACTAAACACCGTATTATAGATGTAATTTGTGTGTAAACGAACTTGTATAATGTAGGTATCGAGGCCGTTGTATGGAGAGGATTTACCCTAAAAACGTCACCCAGTGCTGTGCGGGGTACGTGGGCAGATATTGTGACAACTACGTTCAGGGTAGGTAATTCATAGAGTATCTAGCTACAAATTTTGCCTTTAGTCTATGTACAACAAACCCTGGTTTTACAAGTTCAACCTTCCCTCTATGTACAATAAACTCTGGTTTTACAAGTTCAACCTTCCCTCTATGTATAAAAAACTCTGGTTTTACAAGTTCAACCTTCCCTCTATGTATAACAAACTCTGGTTTTACAAGTTCAACCTTCCCTCTATGTATAACAAACTCTGGTTTTACAAGTTCAACCTACCCTCAATATATACCAAACTCTGGTTTTACAAGTTCAACCTTCCCTCTATGTATAACAAACTCTGGTTTTACAAGTTCAACCTTCCCTCTATGTATAACAAACTCTGGTTTTACAAGTTCAACCTTCCCTCTATGTATAACAAACTCTGGTTTTACAAGTTCAACCTACCCTCAATATATACCAAACTCTGGTTTTACAAGTTCAACCTTCCCTCTATGTATAACAAACTCTGGTTTTACAAGTTCAACCTTCCCTCTATGTACATCAAACTCTGGTTTTACAAGTTCAACCTTCCCTCTATGTATAACAAACTCTGGTTTTACAAGTTCAACCTTTCCTCTATGTATAACAAACTCTGGTTTTACAAGTTCAACCTTCCCTCTATGTACATCAAACTCTGGTTTTACAAGTTCAACCTTCCCTCTATGTATAACAAACTCTGGTTTTACAAGTTCAACCTTCCCTCTATGTATAACAAACTCTGGTTTTACAAGTTCAACCTTTCCTCTATGTACATCAAACTCTGGTTTTACAAGTTCAACCTTCCCTCTATGTATAACAAACTCTGGTTTTACAAGTTCAACCTTCCCTCTATGTATAACAAACTCTGGTTTTACAAGTTCAACCTTCCCTCTATGTATAACAAACTCTGGATTTACAGGTTCAACCTACCCTCAATATATAACAAACTCTGGTTTTACAAGTTCAACCTTCCCTCTGTGTATAACAAACTCTGGTTTTACAAGTTCAACCTTCCCTCTATATACATCAAACTCTGGATTTACAGGTTCAACCTACCCTCAATATATAACAAACTCTGGTTTTACAAGTTCAACCTTCCCTCTATGTATAACAAACTCTGGTTTTACAAGTTCAACCTTTCCTCTATGTACATCAAACTCTTGTTTTACAAGTTCAACCTTCCCTCTATGTACATCAAACTCTTGTTTTACAAGTTCAACCTTTCCTCTATTCATAACAAACTCTGGTTTTACAAGTTCAACCTTCCCTCTATGTATAACAAACTCTGGTTTTACAAGTTCAACCTTCCCTCTATGTACAACAAACTCTGGTTTTACAAGTTTGACCTTCCCTCTATGTACAACAAACTCTGGTTTTACAGGTTCAACCTTTCCTCTATGTACATCAAACTCTTGTTTTACAAGTGTAACCTTCCCTGTGGTAATATCTTTATTGGTGTTGTAGGGATTTGTGTTGCATACACATTTTTTTTTATTTTCAGATGAGTTTTACTTCGCCTCGACGAGACCACGTGATGATGTAGACTTCCTAAAACAACGAACACAGGTAACTTTTTACGGTTTTGGTCAAAGTTTATTAATTACAGGTAACTAGATAGCACTGCATTAATTTTGATTGAACAGCAAACAAAGACAGCTTACACCAGACTCACTCACAATTTGTATGATACAGTGAAGACCACTGATTCTGTTTGATCGGAAACATCGATTGTAGATTAACATATAGATTTCCAAATATGGAAAATATTGTAATCAAGTCCTGTCATATAAATTCGTATCAGAAGGACGTGTCAACCTATACATTATTCAATTACGACTTAATTACAAATGGAAACAGACTTTAACTGTCTTCAACCATGTATATAACAATATCATTATACAGAATATAACGCTTTATCATTAACAGTACTCAATATCATAAATATAATTCTTTGTTAGGAACAGTGTACATAAATATTCATCTTAATAGAATAACACTTTTAAAGATGTACAGCAAACCGTTTTATATTCCGGTGTAGGAATACAGAAACAACAGACGGGGGCCTAAAGGGGAGAAAGGTGAGAGGGGTCCTGAAGGATTCCTGGGAATGCCGGGATCGAAGGGGGAGCCGGGCAGCACGGTGAATAAAGGTCAAAAGGGGGCACCAGGTAATCAATGATATCTATCCTCCTAAAGTCTATCACGTCGTTGATAAGAACATTTCTGTCAGTGTATTTAACTTGTGAATCACATTATTGAACTGATTATCTGTTTAATTTAACAGCAGCTTCATATATATAAACCCAACACATATTGTGTAATTTTACAATCAAGACAAAAAATCTGAGTTTTCAGACAAGAACTCGGAACTGACCAGACGATGATAAGAGTTGACTTTTAGGTACACACACTGCTGTAAATTCCTCCTTCATTCTAAACGGTCCAGATTTAATCTACCCAGTCATACATTAACTTTCGTTCGTGAATACTGTTTTCAACAATCTTCTATATGCAAGTTTATTCTCAAACCGAGGTAAGATGCAGAAGGGAGATAACTCCTACAGAAACCACAGCTAAATCGAGTATTTTGTCGTATGATTTAGCACTTAATGATGCACAGAAATAGGATATATTGTACATTCATCTTAATACCAATTGAAGAACGGGTCACGCCCTGTGAGTCAGAATAGAAAAATGTATTTGATAGTATGTCATTTACCGCACACAAGTCAAAGCACCCTTCAATACTAATTGTGGTGATTTATAAGTGTGTAAATATGTTCAGTGTTGAATGTCATAATGACAGAAGTTAATACATATATAGCCTGTATGTATAATAAATTGGTGTGACTTGTGGTGTAGTTGTTGACTCAGTCATATGTGTTTTTCCTTTTGTTGACTCAGTCTTATGAGTTGTCCTTTTGTTGACTCAGTCCTATGTGTTGTCTTTTTGTTGACTCAGTCCTATGTGTTGTCTTTTGTTGACTCAGTCCTATTTGTTGTCCTTCTGTTGACTCAGTCCTATGTGTTGTCCTTTTGTTGACTCAGTCCTATGTGTTGTCCTTCTGTTGACTCAGTCCTGTGTGTTATTCTTCTTTTGACTCAGTCTTATGAACTGTCCTTTTGTTGACTCAGTCCTATGTGTTGTCCTTCTGTTGACTCAGTCCTATGTGTTGTCCTTCTGTTGACTCAGTCCTATGTGTTGTCCTTTTGTTGACTCAGTCCTATGTGTTGTCCTTTTGTTGACTCAGTCCTATGTGTTGTCTTTTTGTTGACTCAGTCCTATGTGTTATACTTTTGTTGATTCAATCTTATATTTCATCCTTTTGTTGAGGGTCTAACTAGCCGTTGTATATTCGTTGTCTCATGCAACTTCTCTAAGATTGTTTGCAGAGAAAATAGTTTCTCAGGATTCGCAAAGGGTCTAGTTTCTTCTCTATCTCTAAGGTTTTCCACTTGTAACTATTCCAGGACACCTCAGGGTCTGATTCTCACTTGTATCTACTCTGGGACACCTCAGGGACTGATTCGCACTTGTATCTACTCTGGGTCACCTCAGGTTCTGATTCTCACTTGTATCTACTCTGGGTCACCTCAGGTTCTGATTCTCACTTGTATCTACTCTGGGACACCTCAGGGTCTGATTCTCACTTGTATCTACTCTGGGACACCTCAGGGTCAGATTCTCACTTGTATCTACTCTGGGACACCTCAGGGTCTGATTCTCACTTGTATCTACTCTGGGACACCTCAGGGTCTGATGGTCTGATTCTCACTTGTAGATACTTTAGGACACCTCAGGGTCTTATTCTCACTTGTATCCACTCTGGGACACCTCAGGGTCTGATTCTCACTTGTATCTACTCTGGGACACCTCAGGGTCTGATTCTCACTTGTATCTACTCTGGGACACCTCAGCGTCAGATTCACTTGTATCTACTCTGGGACACCTCAGGGACTGATTCTCACTTGTATCTACTCTGGGACACCTCAGGGTCTGATTCTCACTTGTATCTACTCTGGGACACCTCAGGGTCAGATTCGCACTTGTATCTACTCTGGGACACCTCAGGGACTGGTTCTCACTTGTATCTACTCTGGGACACCTCAGGGTCTGATTCTCACTTGTATCTACTCTGGGACACCTCAGGGTCTGATGGTCTGATTCTCACTTGTAGATACTTTAGGACACCTCAGGGTCTTATTCTCACTTGTATCCACTCTGGGACACCTCAGGGTCTGATTCTCACTTGTATCTACTCTGGGACACCTCAGGGTCTGATTCTCACTTGTATCTACTCTGGGACACCTCAGGGTCAGATTCGCACTTGTATCTACTTTGGGACACCTCAGGGTCTGATTCTCACTTGTATCTACTCTGGGACATCTCAGGGTCTGATTCTCACTTGTATCTACTCTGGGACACCTCAGGGTCTGATTCTTACCTGTATCTACTCTGGGACACCTCAGGGTCTGATTCTCACTTGTATATACTCTGGGACACCTCAGGGTCTGATTCTCACTTGTATATACTCTGGGACACCTCAGGGTCTGATTCTTACCTGTATCTACTCTGGGACACCTCAGGGTCTGATTCTCACTTGTATCTACTCTGGGACACCTCAGGGTCTGATTCTCACTTGTATCTACTCTGGGACACCTCAGGGTCTGATTCTCACTTGTATATACTCTGGGACACCTCAGGGTCTGATTCTCACTTGTATCTACTCTGGGACACCTCAGGGTCTGATGGTCTGATTCTCACTTGTAGATACTTTAGGACACCTCAGGGTCTTATTCTCACTTGTATCCACTCTGGGACACCTCAGGGTCTGATTCTCACTTGTATCTACTCTGGGACACCTCAGGGTCTGATTCTCACTTGTATATACTCTGGGACACCTCAGGGTCTGATTCTCACTTGTATCTACTCTGGGACACCTCAGGGTCTGATGGTCTGATTCTCACTTGTAGATACTTTAGGACACCTCAGGGTCTTATTCTCACTTGTATCCACTCTGGGACACCTCAGGGTCTGATTCTCACTTGTATCTACTCTGGGACACCTCAGGGTCTGATTCTCACTTGTATCTACTCTCGGACACCTCAGGGTCAGATTCGCACTTGTATCTACTTTGGGACACCTCAGGGTCTGATTCTCACTTGTATCTACTCTGGGACATCTCAGGGTCTGATTCTCACTTGTATCCACTCTGGGACACCTCAGGGTCTGATTCTTACCTGTATCTACTCTGGGACACCTCAGGGTCTGATTCTCACTTGTATATACTCTGGGACACCTCAGGGTCTGATTCTCACTTGTATATACTCTGGGACACCTCAGGGTCTGATTCTTACCTGTATCTACTCTGGGACACCTCAGGGTCTGATTCTCACTTGTATCTACTCTGGGACACCTCAGGGTCTGATTCTCACTTGTATCTACTCTGGGACACCTCAGGGTCTGATTCTCACTTGTATATACTCTGGGACACCTCAGGGTCTGATTCTCACTTGTATCTACTCTGGGACACCTCAGGGTCTGATTCTTACCTGTATCTACTCTGGGACACATCAGGGTCAGATTCTCTATTGAAAATAGTGTATTGGTAAGTACATATTGTTGTTTTGGGAACAGCGTGAGTAGCTCTGACACTCCAAACTAATGCTATCTCCACGCCAAAATGTTCCTTCCTGTTTCGGTATATGAAAACTCTGCATGTAAAAGTTTCAACAATTTGTAGCCTTGTGTTTTGTTTGTTTGCTTTTCGCAAAATGATTTGATAGAAATCGTTGTCAATAACCAAAAGACGAACATTTATACTTGTGATGTCATCGAATTCCAATTCAAAATATAGGAATGCTTTGATAGAACTTTTGAAATAGCGTTATGGTTTGTTTATTGAAGGGATCTCTGTGAAGGGAGAACGAGGAAAACGAGGTCGCAGGGGAAAACCCGGACGGAGGGGCCGAAAAGGGAACACAGGGCCAATAGGCCCACCAGGCATGCCTGGTTTACCTGATACAGGAAGCCGTAGGAAAACAGGTGAACTATTTAGTATCGGCTTTTACACATTTGTGTAATCATTACTGTGTTTAACCAGTTTGTAGGTGAACAACGAAAAAATCTTTTGTATACAGTTTCATTTTACACATAATTGTCCTGATATCGAAAGTGTCAGCGAGCACTTAGTAAATACTTAGCGAAAATGCACTAGTTGTTTATATCTGCCTTATGTATATTGGTATTACACAATATAGACAGTCAGTACATCAACAGTATAAAAAGCGACCATATTTGGGTTTTCTGCTCAATAAATTAGCAATGATATGAAACAGTTGTTTATGTGTTAGCTGTCAGCAGTTATACATCCTAACAACTGCTAATATAATATCAAGACGATTTTCAAAGTTGATTGGTCACCCTGGGATCTCTTGTAGTGTCATCCCACTGAAATGTCACAAACTGTACGCGAGAGCATGAAATCCCCATCCCTGCCCCTGTACCCGCCAACAACACCCAGATCTCTTCGTTTACTTCGTTAAATCCTCCTGTAATTTTGTTATCATTATCATTGTTACCACTGTAATAATGTGCAACACTTTCATCCTTTTTTCTTGTTATCCTTGTCGAACATCTAATACTGGTAAACATACCCATCTAGTTTTGTCCGTCTGTGAAAATGATATGTAAACATACAAAATTCTCAGCTTACCTGATGTTGGGATCTTTTTTGTGATTTGACTTAATTCGCCCAACAGGATTAAAAACGTTAATTAAATTTGAATTAGAATGAATGCATTCCTTGTTATGTCAAAGACGTCTCCCACAAGCCTTAGATTTATATATTCTGTTTCTCTATCGGTTTTGCAATGTTTCAGACCGGTTCCTCACATTTTAATTTTTTTCAGCAGAGTGCAACTGCAGTGATCTAGAGAGGAGAGTGACGGTAAGTAGTCTATATATACATGATGTGTCAGAGTGACGGTAGGTAGTCTATATATACATGATGTGTCAGAGTGACAGTAAGTAGTCTATATAGACATGATGTGTCAGAGTGACGGTAAGTAGTCTATATATACATGATGTGTCAGAGTGACGGTAGGTAGTCTATATATACATGATGTGTCAGAGTGACAGTAAGTAGTCTATATAGACATGATGTGTCAGAGTGACGGTAAGTAGTCTATATATACATGATATGTCAGAGTGACGGTAAGTAGTCTATATATATACATGATGTGTCAGAGTGACGGTAAGTAGTCTATATATACATGATGTGTCAGTTTGATGAGTACACGTTTCTCTCTCTCTCCTTGATTAGTTTAGTATGACTTTGATATACCTGGAATAAGTCTAAAAGTATTCCCCAATGGAGTAACCTGTTTGTTATTCAAAGTAGTAACTGTCACTCTGGAAGTCTTATCACCTAGCGGGGGTTTGTGCCAAGCCTGTGTAAGAGACCTTCCCTAACGACATCCGCTTATTGTCAGCATCAAAACAGCTTTCTCATTGTCACAGAATCAGATGGAAATATCCCTGTCAAATTTCAGACTAGACTAGATATAGTATATTTATCACATGCTAATCTTGAAAACGACATCAACTGGAAAAATACTATTTTATCTAGAACACATATACTACATATAACAAATACAACATATACACACTGAAATACTTATATATATAATTTGTTTCTGACTTCACCATGAGGCTCGAACTCGCTTCACCACATGTATTTGCTGTGCATTGCTCAGGTGCAAACGTGTTGTGTCATAATCAGCGCCATTTGTTAGTTGGTGTAGAAACCAAGCTAGATCTTCCCAAAATTTCTACAAACTGAAGATATTAAGTTGAATTTTTGTGTCGAATTGAGGCGTACGATAAGAATATGAATTCATATTTACGTAATCTTTTTTACAACATCTGACGAAATTCTTACTTGTTCTTTAAACAGATTCTTGAGACTTTGGTGAGAAACATAACTGAAGGAAGATTGGTCATTCCTAGAGCGGGTCATCCTGTACAACAGACACCGGAAATACCGACAGTTGAAGACCGGTCATCAGCAGTTACCATGGAAACAGTAGGAAACGGTACCTTTCGCACTTTTTCGTATATCCTTGGATTCATTATTGCAATTGATATCCGTTTAAAAGTCTGCCAAGGAACAAATAAATAGAATCGTTCACACCCTCCAAGGTGAGATGAGGATATCAACCCGAGGCTTGTCTCGTGTTTGACAGCTTAATAATCTTTCTCCGAGGGTTGAGATCCCCCAATCCTATCTTAAAGGAGGTGAATGATTATTTTCTCTTACCAATTTTCCTTGTCCGAGCGCAAGACGAAATGTATTGAATATTGACGACGTGTATGCCTAAGACGCTTCGCGCATTATTTCATCTTACACAAAATATAATTCTAGTCTACATGAAAATATAACGTCACACAAAATTATTATCTGGATATTTTACGTATATTTTAGGTAATAAGATGTAGATAAAGATAAGTTTCAATCTCGATGATAATACGTCATTTTCAGTTTTGAGAATAGCACAAAACATGCGTAACTTTATAAAAGTAGTTCTATTTCCGGGTCACGTCAGTGACGTCATTGAAACTGTTTTGAGAATGTGCAAGAGCACGTGTAGTTTGTCTCAGCCCCAGGGTGAGACAAGGGAATCTCACACCTGGAAAAGGAGTGGATTTATCTGTGAACGGTAAGAGCACAAACCATTCCCGTTTAAAGTTTATAACCAAAGAGTAGGTCATATTTAATCTCAACTTTAAATGAAGGGTCGCCTTGATTGTCTCCTGAGAAAGTGTCTTGCATGAGCACACACAAGAGAAATATCTTACACCAGGTTTATCAAGAATGAGGTATGAATCGAATGATCTTGGTGATGACAGCATAAAACAACATAAAAATGGATAGTAGTATTTACACATATCGATATATCTTCTGTAAGAAAACACAATCATATACATTCAGAGACTTAACTGAAATTTTTATCTTCACAGGTGCGAAGTCTAAAACTATACCTACGTCAGAAAATACACCAGAAGTCACAGGAAACCCGACCATAAAAGAAAACCTTGACACAGAAATCACAACCATGTTAACAACAAAAGACTTGCCTGTTAAATGTAACAATTCTAACAGAACCCCAGATTGCCCATCTACAACCTTCTGTAAAACTTCAGTACCAATGAATCCCGACTGGCCTCCTCCCATTCCATACAACACTAATTTTTCACTGACATCTTTAAATGAACTGACGTGTTGTAGTCCAGAAACTTTGGAGTTCGCTTTCCGCTATTACAAAAAATCAGCAGATGTTTAAATGAAAACGGTTATATATATGTATCTGATATCATTTTACTATTTTGTCTGTGTGGGTGTGTTTGTGTGTGTATGTGAGTGTGTGTGTGTGAGGGTGTGTGTGTGTGTGTGTGTGTGTGTGTGTGTGTGTGTGTGTGTGTGTGTGTGTGTGTGTGTGTGTGGGGGGGGGGGGGTGTGTGTGTGTGTGTGTGTGTGTGTGAGGGTGTGTGTGTGTGTGGCGGTGTGTGTGTGTGTGTGAAACAGCCTGCGTCGTATTTGGCGGAAAGTGATGGTTGGTAGATTTATAAAAATTTAATGATACGCCATAGAACCAAGCGTAATAGCTGGAAAAGGAACATGAACACAGAGAGAAAAGTAAGACATGATGAAGGTTATAGTGATTTATTAATGACCACCATGGAAGCCACCAAACCCTCCGGGACCACCGTGATGACCAGACTGCATGGAATGGGTTGGCGCCGGATGGCCGTCACAGTGACAGTACATGTCACCGGTGCCATCATCATCGCATGTGACGGTGGTCACATGGGGTGGACAGGTTTTGCAGTCGGAAGCCGCTTTACACTCTCCTGGGTAGTGGCAGTGGCATTCCCCGTTTAGGCAGGCCTGTGTCATATTTTGTTCTGGACACGTTGGGCACTGACTGATGGAAGTGCAGGTTGGAGCCTTTGGTGGGGCCTGATGTCCATCACAATGGCAGTTATTGGCCTCACAGGTCACATTCCGGGTATGTGGCGGGCAGGTGTAGCAGTCTTTAGGACCCTCGCATTCGTTGTCGAAATGGCATTGACATTCACCATTGTGGCATATCTTATTGAGAGCTGTATTAGGACAGTCGTGGCACGTGTCGGCGGTCGTGCATGTTTGCATGGCTGGTGGAGCTTCGTGACCGTTGCAGTGACAGAAACTAACGCCAGGAGCATCCTGTTCACACGTGGTTCTCTCGTGCTGGTGACATGTGGTGCAGTCGGCAGCGGTTGTACACGATGATCCTGTGTGGCAATGACATGCTCCGTTGGAACAGAAAGCTTTCATGCCTGGTGGGAAATGGGGACATCGACAATCCGCCGTCGATGTACACGCCTGGAGCGCGCGGGCACTGGCTACAATGACAAGGAACTGAGCAAGTGTTCACTACATCTATACAACACGCTGGACCAGGTCTATTAGACTAGTCATGTGATCAGCGAGATTAAAGTTGATGACGATGAACATAACCAATGATTTATTAAATGTTATATATGTGTGAAAAAACAACATAACAGCAGCATCTTAACAATGTCACGATTTATCATATAACTGTCATTTTATTTAGATGAGAAGTAAGACAGGCAGATTACAATGTGATGTGTGTATATAATCATAAAATACAGCGTCTATACATAACTCTATCAAACCACAACGCCAACACCACACGTAGGCAAAATATACCAAATACAAGTCTATGGCAACTGTGATGAAAGCCAAGCCCTCGAACAAAAGAAAAAAAATAAACTTGTATTTAGTGTTCAGTACACCACAACGTTGTCGCGTCATATCCTTACAGCAGCCAGGTTCAAATGAAGACGTTTGGGCAAAACTATAAGACAAATAGATGTCGTAGTATGCTGTATTAGTGAAGCTCTTATATGAGTTCGGAATGGTTTTAGTGTAAGTATTACTTACCAAAAGCCAGGCACAAGATGACAAGAGAGAGCTGCATGGTACTTGGTGGAGAGTTCTGAGGACTAAGAACCTGACGATAAAGTTTATCTTTAACTGTTCTTAAATACAGCAATTGTCGTGACGTTTTCGATTCAACAACCGCTAATCACGCGAAGCCTAGATAACTTGGTACAATGCGTTCCCATTATTGAACCAATGTGTCGCATTTAGGTCTATTTAGAGTCACATACAATAAGATAAGAGGTAAATTTCCTTATTATTTTTTATAGAAATTCAACCATCTACCAAGACCGAACGATAACTCGACTTGCCGAATCACGAGTATTATTAAACCACCTTATACTTCTACGTCACGATCACGTCGAATTAACCAGACCCTGTCTACGACAGCCATTGTCTTCCTGTCCCTTCGGATACCACGTCCTTTCGGATAGTTACGTTACGATGTTCCATCGCTTCTAGTCAATTATGATAGAATCCGTCTAGTTAGTTATAATAACACACGTCTAGTCATATATTATAATTTGTATTTTGTTTGGAAATTGAAATTGGGTAGGAAAAATTTTCAGGGATTAAAAACAAACTACATATGTATAATCGTGATGGTCTTGTATTGAAATGACGACAAGCTCAAAGGGGTTAGGTACGATATTTATTCCAACATTATCAGGGCATCTTAAAAAGCTCTGTAACAAATAATATAAAACGGACTTAACTACACATTCAAGCTAACCATACTTTCTTAACTTTCACACAGAGGGAAATAACTCTCACAGCACTAATAAAATTATTACTTATCAATCGTATACTATTACGATTTACAAATGAGACGTTTGATTATTATAGACTTTTATATCGATACTATTTATATCGATCAAATAAATATATAGATAAATGCAAAGATGCATTTATCTTTACAAGCTATATACATTTACAGAAATACAGATATACCTGAATAATAGCTCAAAGCCCATGTCCTGAAATTGACCATGGAGCTACAACAAATCCACGAGACGGTCTAGTTCAATATATATATATATATATATATATATTTTCAAGCCGATTGAACACGTCCAGTCTGGTCAAACGAATGCCTCAGTCTGACAAGACAAAAGCCTGAACAAAGAAATATCCCGCCAAATCGCCCAATAAAAACAACCAATGAAACAACAGGAACTATGTGACATAACACCACAAAGACTGACCACTTGGACATTACAATAACTGGTACAATACAGACGAAACGAAATGGCACTAAATACAGATACATAACTATATGATACAGACGATACTAATTCCGGCAATCTGTGTTACGGACGCGACAATACAATACTCTGGACGATTGGAGAATAATATAAAATAATGCCAAAAACACAATAAGACATATTTAATGAAACAACTTAAAAATACAGAAATTAATGTCCCTGCTACATATGTGACTATCTTTGGACAACTGACTCACTGAAAACATTCGCTGAACAGACTCTGCTTCCGAAATACCGATTTTGCTAACCTACAAAATATTCTTTCAAGCATTCACTTTTAAACAAAAACATACCTAAAAGTCAACAAGATTAATAATAAAAGTAACATACACATATAGTAATAATTTGACACCCGTTATGCCAAAAACTTGCCCGAGCGAGAAAATGAAATTTTAACCAATCAGAAAACAGCATTTCATTTTCCGTTCACTTGATTTCCGGTTTAAATGGCGGGACATACTAGAATTTGGATTGGTACAAAATACTAAAATCACACTTAAAAACATCAAGAAAATACCAACATGGCAAATACGGAACGGAGAAAGGTAGCAGATAGTCCAGTGTTTATGTAGAGTTACCATGACTAGCCTTTGTGAGCATTACTAAGCGTACTTTCATTCAATTTCGAATGAACGCAATGCGATAAACACTAGGAGATACAGATCACTTGTTTTTAGGCCAATAAGTCATAAAAGTCTAATTTGTGGATTTTTTATTTAAATTAAGACATCCGTAGATATCTATGGTTGTCTTAATAGGAAAACAATGTACTAGAAAGTCGGTACTCGTCAATTCGATACGATACCGCATTGCGTTCACTTTTAGGCAGTGCAATTAACATATCTAGTTCAGTAAGAGATTAGTTATACGTGTATTTTGTTTGAATGAGTGCACGCGCACCGAGTTATATCAGTATTTCTTATCTCTATCATTCTTCGTCAAACAATTTCAATTCGGTAGGAGGTGACAAGGTCATATGAGAATATGTTTACACCTGTACAACACTATAAACATACCTCGGTAATCCACGTCATCTATGTAGATAAGCGTGGTATTCAGGTTACAATGACACATTGCTATTATGTATCGACATTGTGACTGGGTACAATATGCGGTAATAATGAAATGCGGTGAATTTGAAAAGTCATAGCTCTCACTGAAAATCGACAAACTTTTTAAATTATGAACCTGTCATAAAAATGGCTGACTGAATGTCATATAGAAAATGGAACATGATGAAAGGGAAACATGTGTTGAGGATGATAGGTCGAGGAGAATTGATGGGCATCAGATTTCTTCAACAACAACAACAACAACAACAACGACAACGTCAACGTCGTTCGGGGCCACGACATTGCAGTCAGTAAAACCTTAGTCTATATATCTATTTCAAGGCCTGTTTCGTCACTCCCAACCCGTGACAACGGACTGGTCTTTATTGATGTGGTTGTGTCCCTTGGCAAGTGCTTTCCCTAATTTGTTTTGGAAGGCACCCTGAGGACCTCCGGTATACTGTTCATTGTGTTAAACACCAGTTAATACAAGGAGAATCTGCCTCCAAATGACCTGATTTCACCAGGTTATTTACCCATCAAACAAACAAACAACACCTGGAGTATTTTCTTCTGTCTGGGCTCGTTGATTAGATAGTATGTTACATGCTCTTCAATTGAATTATCGTCGTTATCGTATATATCATAATCGAGGCCGTGATTATTGCTACAGAATGACATTATATCCCCAACCAACGTGTACACTGTGAACAATATGTCGTAAAAAGTAGAACGCCGAAACATGAAATTTCTGGTTTAATTCTGCCAATATTTTGTGATCGGATGAAAAGTTAGTGTTGTTATATTCCGCAACCAAAATTGTGTCTTATAAAGAAAATTACAAGATGGCGATATAAAAAAGGATAGTTTCCTTGTAGATAAATAGTAAGCCAAAGTGGAAAAACTCTTAACCCTTATATTTATATACACATACATTTAAAAATATCTTTTGAATATTCGTTATTAAAATTGATTTAAAACTTAGTTGAATTACTGATATCAGTAAACATGTATATGGATGTCCGTAGATCAAATTACTGATATCAGTTAACATGTTTATGGATGTCCGTGGATCAAATTACTGATATCAGTAAACATGTTTATGTATGTCCGGAAATCAAATTACTGATATCAGTTAACCTGTTTATGGATGTCCGTAAATCAAATTACTGATATCAATAAACATGTTTATGTATGTCCGTAAATAGAGGATCTTACATGAATGTCAATGTATTAAGGAATTTATTGAACGAGTTTAATAAATTCCATAATACATTGATACGAGTGTAAGATTCTATTTATCACATAACCAATTAATATGGAAAAATCGACAGAAAACTACGATTTACTTCCACTATGCAATCAGCTGTTTCTATATAGGTCAAAACCAACGCACAACAACCATAGTTTTATCCATCCGTGTTGCAAAAAGTACCCTTTTTTCAATGATTGAATAAGAGATTGTTATGTTCCAAAATAATATCGACAAAGTAACGCATTTAAATTCTGTTTCATGCCAAAATAACTTTTAAAAATCACAAAAAAAATCTTCTGGAAATTGACTTGATATTGGTAGCGTGACGTCACCTCGCCTCGTCATCACGGGTCATCAGGTTCGGCCTAACTGCTCCAATTACTGCGGGTCACTGTCACTTTCAATGATAGCTTTTCATTTATTTCTGGTAACTCAAAAAATTTACACAAAAGTTTTATGTCATACAAAGATTTGCTCAACGTATTCTTGTTTGATTGATCCTGTATAAAATTCCCACCTCATGTTCTCTGACTGAAACGAAACGACTTGGTTTTGGGGCAACAGGACCGCCATCCGGAGCGGTCGTCTGCTGTTGGGAGGGATCTACCACCTTTTCAATACGATCGCGCTCAAGCTCAATTTGAAAGTCAATCCCACACAATTCAACATTATAAAATACAGCAAACCCCGGGGGATTATCTCCTTCACCACACCAGTCCCCTTCTTATCAATAAAAAATGTGTCGCCAATGTTGATCTGGTCAGCCATATTTTACTACAGTTTGTTGTCGTATTAAACAAAAGTAGTACGCGCGCGGGCGTATGAATACGATCCCACGATTTTGACCAATCAGCAGACCCCAAAAGTTTATCACACATGTGTATTACCATTATTATGACATGGGAAAACGGGTCGGTTATGTGATAAATCAAATTACTGATATCAGTAAACATGTTTACGGATGTCCGTAAATCAAATTACTGATATCGGTAAACATGTTTATGTATGTCCGTGGATCAAATTACTGATATCAGTAAACATGTTTATGTATGTCCGTAAATCAAATTACTGATATCAGTAAACATGTTTATGTATGTCCGTAAATCAAATTACTGATATCAGTAAACATGTTTATGTATGTCCGGAAATCAAATTACTGATATCAGTAAACATGTTTATGTATGTCTGTAAATCAAATTACTGATATCAGTAAACATGTTTATGGATGTCCGTAAATCAAATTACTGATATCAGTAAACATGTTTATGTATGTCCGTAAATCAAATTACTGATATCAGTAAACATGTTTATGTATGTCCGTAAATCAAATTACTGATATCAGTAAACATGTTTATGTATGTCCGGAAATCAAATTACTGATATCAGTAAACATGTTTATGTATGTCCGTAAATCAAATTACTGATATCAGTAAACATGTTTATGTATGTCCGTAAATCAAATTACTGATATCAGTAAACATGTTTATGTATGTCCGTAAATCAAATTACTGATATCAGTAAACATGTTTATGTATGTCCGTAAATCAAATTACTGATATCAGTAAACATGTTTATGTATGTCCGTAAATCAAATTACTGATATCAGTAAACATGTTTATGGATGTCCGTAAATCAAATTACTGATATCAGTAAACATGTTTATGGATGTCCGGAAATCAAATTACTGATATCAGTAAACATGTTTATGGATGTCCGTGGATCAAATTACTGATATCAGTAAACATGTATATGGATGTCCGTGGATCAAATTACTGATATCAGTAAACATGTTTATGTATGTCCGGAAATCAAATTACTGATATCAGTAAACATGTTTATGTATGTCTGTAAATCAAATTACTGATATCAGTAAACATGTTTATGTATGTCTGTAAATCAATATCAGTAAACATGTTTATGTATGTCTGTAAATCAAATTACTGATATCAGTTAACATGTATGTCCGTGGATCAAATTACTGATATCAGTAAACATGTTTATGTATGTCCGGAAATCAAATTACTGATATCAGTAAACTCATTATAAGTTACAATATGTATGTCCGTAAATCAAATTACTGATATCAGTAAACATGTTTATGGATGTCCGGAAATCAAATTACTGATATCAGTAAACATGTTTATGTATGTCCGTAAATCAAATTACTGATATCAGTAAACATGTTTATGGATGTCCGTGGATCAAATTACTGGTACCAGTAAACATGTTTATGGATGTCCGTAAATCAAATAACTGATATCAGTCAAACATGTTTATGTATGTCCGGAAATAAAATTACTGATATCAGTTAACATGTTTATGGATATAATTCGACATCAAATTACTGATATCAGTAAACATGTTTATGGATGTCCGTAAATCAAATTACTGATATCAGTAAACATGTTTATGGATGTTACAATACAGTCAAATACAACATGATATACTGTACTATGTTTATGGATGTCCAAACAAATTACTGATATCAGTAAACATGTTTATGTATGTCTCTCAAATCAAATGTACTGAAATCAATAAACATGTTTATGGATGTCCGTGGATCATTTTACCGATATCGCGCCAAATTACTGCGCATGTTTATGGATGTCACTGGGCAGTTACTGATAAGTAAACATGTTTATGGATGTCCGGTGATCAAATTACTGATATCAGTAAACATGTTTATGGATGTCTGTAAATCAAATTACTGATATTAGTTAACATGTATAAAATAACTGATATCAGTACACATGTTTATGGATGTCCGTCAAATCACAACACTGATATCAGTAAACATGTTTATGGATGTAAAAAAAAAACTCAAATTAACTGATATCAGTAAACATGTTTATGTATGTCCGGAAATCAAATTACTGATATCAGTAAACATGTTTATGTATGTCCGGAAATCAAATTACTGATATCAGTAAACATGTTTATGTATGTCCGGAAATCAAATTACTGATATCAGTAAACATGTTTATGTATGTCCGGAAATCAAATTACTGATATCAGTAAACATGTTTATGTATGTCCGGAAATCAAATTACTGATATCAGTAAACATGTTTATGTATGTCCGGAAATCAAATTACTGATATCAGTAAACATGTTTATGTATGTCCGGAAATCAAATTACTGATATCAATAAATGGAAGTATAAAGATAATGAGTGATTTTCCCATGTCGACTTGTATAGATATAACACGGCTACAATAAATCACAATCTGACGAGAACAAACGGCAGAACAAACTTGTGTTTAATACATTTCAATAAAAATTATAAATAAATAAATAAATAAATAAATAAATAAGTGATTAAATAAATAAATAAACATCATGTTAAAATGATTATGATAGATTGCATATGCATTATCTGATCTCTCCCAATGTTCGTTGAAATGTGAACTGAATTGCCGGTCACAGTTTTTCTACACACCGCTAAACTTCGCTTCAAAAATACAACTAGCGTAGCCTTGCGGAGAAAAGTTGTAACTAATAAAAGTCTAGTAGTAATGTAAATAGAAGAATGGACAGGCCAGTTACAATAGCAGTTATAAATGTAATCAATAAATAAACTTCGCCTTATTATCCTACCAGTGTCATTTCGCGTTATTATCCTACCAGTGTCATTTTCACTGTCACAAATCTTGTACGAGTTGTACGTTCCGAACTTCTTCCAACGACCAATATCAATGGTCTATCTGGCGCTACCAAACCGGGTGTTTGGTTGTTTGTAATACTCTATTGACCGTCGTACACTTTCCTCGTGAGAATATAGAGGTTTGTAATCAAGGATTTCAGAGGCCTTCTTATACACCGAGTTTACTTTCATGTTGATATATCTAACAGAACGGGGGGTGAAGTTAGAGTTTATCTGGTAGATAGGGGAGATAATCCACGCTATACAAATTAATACTACTGCCAAGAAAACCATGAACCAGTAGGGAAGTATGAAGTTTGTCATCTTTAAACCACAGCTTTTCAAGAAAGGATCAACTAGCTGAAACATGTTACCAAGAGGGGTGTCGTCACACACGAAGAACACTTCTCCGCCGAGATCCGAATTCTCACGCAAAGCTTTCACGGCACACACAAAACCCCAAGCCACGTTTCCAGCGTATGCTGCCTGTGATGTTCCGTTTGCGAACTGACATATGGTACCACCTAAAATTGAAGCCCATCTGAGGATATTCGGTGCCCAGTGGACATCAAGCTCCCCGTACATCGTCACTGGTCTCAAAGACAAAGTGCGCAGTTTACCACCTGGAAAACGTACCAACATGTCGATGATGTGACAGAAAGCTACAACGGACATTTTAATACTGTTAGTACGGGTAACATACCCAATTTAAAAGCACAACACTGTTGCTGTACACGGGTCAACTCCGACAGATCTAAGGTCCAACTGGCAACAGCAATGTTACGCCATATCTGTTAATCCTAACCTTGCTCGGTAATCTAAATTAAATTGCGGTTGTAAAACCACTTATTAAGAGAGAGCGAGAAAGGCATGTCATGTCTCTTTATTCTCTTCTAATTTCCTGCTCGAGTTGTTCAGGGAGCCTCGGTGTGAAACCGAGACAGGGGAAACTACATGATAGCCTCTAAATACCTTTTACATCCTTTATTTACCGAAAAAGATGTCTGTTAATTTTGTAAGTAGATTTATTTATATACCAACCATCTGGCAGATAAGCCCCGTCTTGACTCTTCACGATTTGTTCAGCTAAGTGTTTGGTAACGCTGTACTGCCCGAACAGGAAATCCTTGGGTATTTCAGACGTCTCGTCGGAGTCCGTGATATCTTTGTAACCTATGACAACGCTTTGTGAACTACAGTACACAAAATGTCGTACGTTTTGCCTGATGCAGACTTGAAGTAGTAGTTCTGCACCTATAAATAAAATCACAACACATCTTTACATTTAATAATAAACAGTTGCCTGACACAAGCGCAGCTTAGCGAAACTCAGAGGTGTGCCTTCACCAATTACAGTTACCCCTTGTCCATTTGTACAACCTGTAAAAATCGTATGATACCGGAAACAGATTCCACATGGACATCGGATGTATATCCTTGAACCAAAGTGATACGTAGCTTATATACAAACACAGTTGTCTTATAGTATGTCCTACAGCGTAAAATACTTGCATACAAAACAACAATTCGTTATCTTCTTCCACGTTCGGTGGTCATTTTTCGGACTTCAGTTTGGTGTTACCTATAACGTTGATGTTATGTAGGTTTGTCTTGTCCGGAAACAGCCTTACATCTACCACACTCGCGATGTGTATCACACAATCTACATCCCTTGTGGCACTCTCTAGAACCGCTACGTCGGTGATGTTACCGACAAACGCTTCCACTGGCTTCCGTTCTTTATAATCTGAAAACATAAAGAGAAATGCAAATACTCTCCACTAGACTTCTCTTCGAAAATATAACTACACTAGATTGTCTACCGTAGTTTTTCTGCTCTCCGCTAGACTTCGCTTCGTCAATACCAGGATGTGTCGACATGTGCACGAGGCGCGGGTTGAGATTCGGTTCTCTCCTTGGCGCTGTCGTGTTGGTAAAACAGTCTGTATGTTTGCCATATTAAATTCAGAATAAGCAAATCTTGGACTAAATTCTGATATCATTTTCCAGTCTTTAATTGGGTGACTTTAAATTATCCACACGAAAAAAGCACATTGGATGATATCAGCATGTTTTGCTCGTATCTCTCACCTATCGGTTTAGTAGACGTCACATGGTGGTTAATTAAAAAAATGTTATCATACGCTTGTCTGTGACTTGTCTGAGATACTGATTAGTGCGCATACACTGAATGTCATATCAGCCATGTACAGCCCATTTCTGAACCATATTTGTCACACTCGCGCTTCAGCTGATCATTGTGCAACCAAAACTGCTTCATGTTAGCACGAAACAAACAGGTAAATGAACAAAAACATTAGAAAAAGTTTTCAAATTCTGATCATGTAAAAATACACTGTAATAAACAAAAACAACGATTATACATCATTGTAATCGGTTTGACATGCAGCGTACTTTCTTTGTCCACATCGTCCTCGGTCTGATCACAGACGTGTGTTACTCATTTATGTTTATATGGGCTGATAAAATCACTCGGAATTTTCCTCAGCTTTCTGGTAGATAATAAATGTTCAATATATTATGTAATGACGTCACAATATCTCCCAAAGCAGTTTAACGCGAGTTACGTTAAGTAGTGACGTCACAATATAATCTACCAAAGCAGTTTAACGCGAGTTACGTTAGGTAGTGACGTCACAATATAATCTACCAAAGCAGTTTAACGCGAGTTATGTTAAGTACTGATGTCACAATATCTATTATATTGAAACAAACGATTGCGCGCAACTTTACATTAACATCAGTCACGATATCTTAGTTTAGTTTAAACATATTTTTTGCCGAAAGATAGACATGAAATGAGGCACAAGTTATTGTTAATTATCCGAATATACATTTTAAATATATTACAATACTGCCAATACAGATATACGGATATTGTTACAATTTGTCACCAACGCTGACATTCAACAAAATAGTAAATGACAAACTGACAAGGATGACCACAATCACAAGATGCATTCTCAACGGGACTAACTCAAAAAAAGGCCAAAATTAAAGGAACTACACCGTGTCGGCGCTTAGTGTGCAATATCTTAAGTTTTCGATGTTCAATTTCATAGTAAATTGGTGGACTTGATTTAATATTTGATGTTAAACAGGATTTTAATGAATTAATAAACGATTGAAATCGAACCTAATTTTCTATGTTATTCCAACAGTAAAGAGTAGAAGGTAGAAAAGATGAATTAGTTAGAGAGAGTCTGAAAGGAGGAATCCTATAGTTATTATTGTTACGTAATTCGTAACGATTATTTCCGCCAGAACAAAAGATGATTGAGGTATTCAGGAGTTAATTTATTATGTAGTTGAAGTTTCCTGATTTTTAGATAAGGTTTCGTAAGGCCAGTAGTATAAAGTATTAACATAAGTATATAAAGGTAGTATAATGCGAGTGGCTTCACGTTGGGTTTTTTAACCGATCTGATTCAAATTTAGTGCAACCGTCCCATTATTCACAAGCATATTCTAAAACAGGTAAAATAAAAGTAATATATTTTTGAAAGAGCATCCCTACTTAATAAGTGTTTTAATTTCCGTAAGACATAAAAAAATTTCACAACGAAGTGTAAATTCCGTAAACATGACACCCCCACCCCTCCTCCCACTTTGCATTTGGATTACAAGTTACACCTAATTGTTAATGATAATTTGTAAACTTTAAGACATTCACAGCAAATTCTATGTTTACTTCGATATCAGTAAATTTCGAAATAAACAATACATCTATGTTTTCAGGACTGACATTAATCGACCAAATTTTTTACCAAGCACTTAAAATCTCTAGGTTTCTATGTAATGTTTCTTGAATTTCTAGACAGGATCAAGGCGACGTATCGTCTGCAAAGAGACGAAACGTCAATTAAAAATATGCTATGTCATTGATATAAAAAGAATAATGACAAGCAAATTCATGGAATTTATATCCCCCGCTTTCCAAACATACTGTAAGTAAATATTTTAGAGGTTAGGAGTCAACATGGCATAATGCTATGTAGAATGACATATTCTCTTGAGCTATAATGTATTGCTTTAAAGCCATAGAAAGATGTAAAGGATTAAAGAGAGTAGTCTTAGTAACCCCAAGATGCATCTGCTGACCAAGTTTCACCCAAATTGGATAATATTTCGGGAAGTAAGAACACGGAAACGAACGTGTGACAGACAGACGGACGGACAAATCCAAATTAATATCCACCGTTTTGGTGAAAGCGGGGGATAATTAAAGTAGTCTGAGAATAAAGCTTTGCGGAACCCCTGTCTCAATGAGCCCTTGAGAAGAATATGAACTGTTTAAGATACCTTTTGATGTCTCCGAGATAATTTTTAGCCATATAAGAAATTCACCTGAAATTCCGTACGTTTTAAACTTCGCCACAACACCTCTTTGCCAGACCCTATCGAAGACTTCGGATATGTCACAGAAAAAAAACACAAGAATGTTTTTTTTCAAGTTAAATACAAATTTGGTGATGAATATCAATGAGTTGATATACTTTAGAATAACCATGCATTAAACCAGACTGATATTTGTAAAATAAGTAGTTGTACAAACGTTTAAAAATTCACTCTTTCAAAACCTTTGCGAACCGTGGACAGCAAGGAAATAGGTCTATAATTATCCTCCCCGCAACGAAGTTGGCGGGATATATTCCAATGGGTTCCGTCCGTCCGGACGTCCTTCCGTCCGTACAGATGCATGTTATCTTTGGAAGGACTGATTAATCTTGGATTTTTTGTTTGTTTTTAAATACAAGTAGATTTTTTCAGTGCAATGAGACTTGCATTTATTTCTTGAGAAGCAAACTTTTGAGTAAAGAAAATAACGCCAGGCCCAGAGACAGTTAAAAAATACACAACTTCTTGTGAGAAAACTTACTCAGCTGATTGGAAAACTTCCGAATATCCAAGACTTTAAGATGAGTGACGAAGTCTGCCTTCTCCTGCAGAAGTCGCACGATATGTTGTCCAAGAAAGCCATTCGCACCCGTGACCAGCACTGTATACCTGGACATACTGACGCCTGTAGGACAAAGTTTTAAGATTTTACTATTTTGTACCTGGTATGTGATTTATGAGGTTGTATAGCTCGTGATAAAAGACAATGCCAATAGGATGGTACCACACACAGGTAACGGTACAGAAGGCCTGGGTACTAGGTACAGATGTTTTCCTGTCCAGGGTATACACGTGGGTTACCATAAAGGTTATAATAACAACCACTGATGTGATAACAGGATTTTTACAAAGGAGGTTGAGGCTTATTTAGATATTGCGGTGTTGCAACCCTTGCCCATTAATGGATGAGTATTATTTTTTACCGAATATTGACAAAACTATTTTTTTAATTCCATGCGCCATTCTTTCCACAAAAATGTATGATAGTTCATCTGATGAATTAGTGATTATAATGATAGTTCATCTGATGAATAAATGATTATAATGATAGTTCATCTGATGAATTAGTGATTATAATGATAGTTCATCTGATGAATAAATGATTATAATGATAGTTCATCTGATGAATTAGTGATTATAATGATAGTTCATCTGATGAATAAATGATTATAATGATAGTTCATCTGATGAATAAATGATTATAATGATAGTTCATCTGATGAATTAGTGATTATAATGATAGTTCATCTGATGAATAAATGATTATAATGATAGTTCATCTGATGAATTAGTGATTATAATGGTATAAATTATCTCCGTTATATCAGTACCTAGGTAGAACTATTCCTGATTGGTTAAAATGTTCTGCGTTTGATTTTTTTCAAAATGTTTTTCCAGGTCGATGTATTTTCAAAATCATCAATAATTGATTAAACATTAAGTTATATCAAAAAGTAAAAATGGCTTTGACTTTCTTTGGATAATTTTCAAAATCATCAATAATTGATCAAACGTTAAGTTATATCCATGTTATTTCTATACTTACAACGTGGTAATCGTCTCCACTGCAAACACACTACTGGTGAACTGCTATTGAGACAGTGCACAAAAAGAAACACTATCGCCATCATCAGATATGATAACCGAGTATATCTGACCTAGACCAGATCGTCGGTTTTTATATTGACTGAGATAATCAATATATATCTGGGTGTCTGAATCATTATCATACACATATAGACTGTCCTTGACACCGTTTTCCATTCATTATTTTTTTATTACAAAAAAAACTTTCTTCATTTGATGAGAAAATGATAATATTAATTAATGCATAATTATGTACAAAATATCTGGACTCCTATCACTACAGGTACACTGTGTCATCTTATTTTCAAAAATTCAAATACAATTTATCTCAGATATGAGATCTAAGACGAACTAATAATGCCAAAATATCAATGTTTTGCTTTAAATAATGATTTTGATGAAAAAATCTATCAACTGTACCAAATGTAATTTATTAAACACAGCAATTTAATTAATTGTTCACATCTTTTGGCAAATCAGGAATGATGGCGAAATTCCATGTTTGCCTCAAGAACACTAAATACACTGTCTCCAATATTTCTATTACTCATGCTAGTTTCTCACTCTTGTCCATTTGAATTATCCACTCTTGTCCTCTACATTTAAATTATCCACTCTTGTCCTCTACATTTAAATTATCCACTCTTGTCCTCTACATTTAAATTATCCACTCTTGTTTCACACGTTACAAGGCTCATTTTCCATTTGTTCGTTTTTACGTCACAATCGAATTGATGCAGGTGTAGACTATGGAAGGGAGACAACTGATTGACTTGTGGAGTACCTCTCAGTGTTGATAATGATGACTCGACCAATGAAGATGACTTGGCATCTATGTCCATTTTTACATCTTAGAAACCGTGAACATTAAGCTGATGTTCCTTTGCTAAGCCAATCTTTCTGAGAAAATCTCTAATGTTGTTTCTTTGGTCACCTTGCACTTGTATGACCTCTCCGTACTCAGAATGTTCAGCCTCTGTCCCGTTAAAGGCAAACTCCTTTACGATTTTCTTCAGGTCAAAGGTGAGACTTATCCCCTGTACTGTGGTCAGGGTTTTTCGACCATTTTTCTGCTGAATTCGGATGTGAATCAAACTCTCTGATACTCCAGATGCCCCCTCATTTTCAACTTCCATCCCTCCACCCATCCCCCTTCATCAATCAATCAATCCATCCATCCATTTTTCCCTTCCTCCGTCCACCCATCCCACCCTTTATCCATCCCTCCCTCCAGTCCTCCACCAATCCATCCCTCCCTCCCTCGGTCCACCCTTCTCACTTGTCTGTCTTTTAAGCGTCCTTCCTACCATCAGTAGATTGAGAGTTACTCCCAGCTTGTGTAGTATACTGTACTGTATAAATAAAGAACATACTTTATTTCTTGATAAATAACAGTTATTCAGTAGTGTACGGACTTGGTGTTTATTAAGTGAAAGAAGATAAAATCAATATATGGAAGTCAAAGACGACAGAACAAGGCTGGGGAGTACTAGTATATAGAGATTAAGGAGCAATGGTGGACCAAGACGAGAATATTTCATCACACAGCAGGCGGTTGCCACAGCGAACATTACTGTTGGTTTGGTTCGGTGATAATCTATTTATCTATATATATATCAATTTATTCATTTATTTATCTATTTATATGGAGTTACATTTAAATAACTGTTTAATTTAGAATATGCAGCATATTTGTGGAATCCATATGAAGTAAGTGAAAGTTTTTGTTCTTTTTTACAAGATGGCGACTTGACCGGAGCGCTAGTTGGGTCGGAGACCTAGGTTTGTAGAGTTTTCATGCTAATGCAGATCACATTATTATGACATTGACTGCTATGATGTTCTGTTTATGAAACTAGCAATATCAAGTTGCCTTTGTTGCTTTACGAGCTCCATGCACTGTGTAATCAGACACTATGCATGTACGTGTATACTGTAAACAAAACTGACCGCCATATTATCCCAAGGACACACGCGTTACTCGAAACACGCCTTCTCTTGATTGGGTTTTGACCATCATATTGCCATATATATGTTTGACAATTATGTCTGATTTGGAATATGAATGCTCCAATAAAAGAAAATTTGATTCCCCTCCTGGCGCCCCTGACCATCCACGACATACTAGATGTAGAGGTCACGCCCGTGGGAATTCTGTGCCCAACCCGATACCCATTCCCAGTTCTACTCATCGGACAGATATCGGAAAAGGACAAAAAGTTGACATGAACACCATCATTAAATCAACACCATCTAGCCCGGAACTGGCTAAATCCATAGCGCCCGTGTGGGCGGAGACATTCGTTCCGTGTATGTCAGTCATGGTTATAACTGAATCAACAATGACCAGCCTTCTCAAGCCACTACAGGATAAAATCTAGGTCCAAGAGTCAAGTATGTCTAGCCTGAAGACCTCGAATGATCTGTTGATTAATAAATGTGCCTCTCTTGATGAAAAAGTGTATGACTTGAGTGTTAAACTTGATGAAAAATCCAACATGCTTGATGAGAAAGTTGAGGAACTTGAACAACATGGCCGCCGAAATTCATTGGTTTCCACAACATCTCGCTTACTCCGGATGAGAAAGTTTACTGATCCCAAAATTGTTGAATTGTGTAACTCTAAGCTCAACGTCAGACGTGTGAAAGATGATATATACAGATCGCATATCATTGGGAAAGAAAACCGTGATAGGAAATTCCAAATCATTTGTCGTTTCCGCAGGTGGAATGTGAAAAATGAAGTTTTCCGGAACAAACGAAGTCTCAAGCACGACCAGGAAAAAACATCTATATTACGGAGGACCTCACAAAGACAAAGGTTTTGTACAACATAAATCATCATCATGTTACAAAAGATGTAAACATTGACATGTACCCATAAAAAATACGAACGTTTATACATAGAATCAGAAAAATCTATCATACACATATAACATCTGAACACGGTATTAGAAACTAATACTAATACTGACATGAGTGAACATCAGTGTTACTAAGTTGACATATAGTAAACACGCATAGGCATAAAATGAATTCCATAAGCATGGTAATAAAACCAATGTAAAATTGAAATACAAATAACATACGTACAAGTATCAAAATCCATAGTGTTGCGAGTCATGTCGCTAGATAGGTCGCCTGAAGAATGGTTTGAAAGTCAAACTAAAGTGGATGGAAATATCCATTATGACATACCGAAGTGTATGCAGCCTAAGGCTGTTGTGAAATTTTCTGCGAACACAGTAAATGGACGTCATGATGATAATGGTAGTTAGAAGTGATAGTGTGACATAGGGTCATGGAGTCATCAGTGAATTGTACACATTTTCTGTTATGGTGTAAGATGTGGTTGGATCAGGAAGACCTTGAAAATGAAAACTAGTGAGTGTTAGGTGAGACTGTAAAAGCTTGAACTGCGCGAGACTTGTGAACAGGTAACAACAAGGTAGATATTTCCTCTATTTTGAGTACATACAGAAGACAAATAACTGCTATGCCTGCGGTAGCTGTTCCTGTTAATGCAATTACACCAGCCATGATCCTGAAGTAAATGGAATTTGTCCTTCTAACATTGATTCAGCTAGTGATTTAAATTCAACTTCACCATTTTTAGCTGATTTGACAATTTTCTTTAAACTCAAATGATACTTCTGATCAACAGTTAATTTTTTCTGAAAAGGAATGGTTATATATTTTCAAGTTTGGGAGATTAATATGGACGAAATCTGGATATGATGTGTCACCAAAAGTTGAAGCATGTAGTGAGTCAGGAAAAAAATTCCTGAAGAAATACCAAGTTGACTGGGTGAATAACTGAAATATCACTGGAATCGTTTTTACACTGACCTCAACGTGGTGGAACAAAAAGATTGCCTGCTTCACACAGGCATGGTAAACTGACTACACAAAAAGGACATCCTTTTATGATCTTCTGACCATTTGAACGATCTAGTGCTAACATAGGTATTTGATACATGAGTAAAGTGGGTGGAGCTAACTCTGTAATGGTTAATGACAATACATTTGG